AGACCTGCGAAAAGAAATAGAAATGGTCACTGAACATGGGAGGCGTTTGTCAACACTATTTTTGGCCTCTCAAAAACAAATAAAAAATAACACGCTGGTAGTCTGCAAGGCAATTACACAAATTTAAATACCTGAAGCTGTGACTTCCTTCCAGGAATTTATCAGAAGGGAATAATTAAATAAGCATACCAGGATTTATATACAAGAATGCTTACAGAGCAAAACTGTGCATTTATAAAGAACAGGTTAAATAAATTACATGACATCCATATAATGGAATACCAGGCAGTATTTTAGTGCATTTATTGGCCTGAAAAGTGATTCTAAAAATATTTTAAGTGACAAATAAATCTAAAGCAGATGTCACAAGAATATGGATAGCAAAATATGAGTTTTCTGATTGACAAGGAAACATAGAAAGAAAATATTATTTTTAAAAAGGTAATGAGATTATAGATTTTTTTTAAATTGTAATAGATTTAGGAGATACAAGTGGCTTTCTGTTATATGGATGAATTATATACTAGTGTGGTGGCTCACACCTGTAATCCTAACACTCAGTCCGGGTGGCTCACACCTGTAATCCTAACACTCCGGGAGGCCCAGGCGGGTGGATTGTTCAAGACCAGCCTAAGCCAGAGTGAGACCTCCATCTCTACAAAAAAAGCTGGGCATTCTGACAGGCACCTTTAGTCCAGCTTCTGGGGAGGCTGAGGCAAGAGAGTCACTTGACCCCAGGAGTTTGTGGTTGCTGTGAGCTATGATGTCACAGCACTTTACTGAGGGGAACAAAGTGGGACTCTGTCTAAATAAAATAAATAAATAAATATAACTTTCTGTCTGCTTTATACTTATAATTAGGAAAAAGAGGACAGAAAAGGAACTATATTAGTCCGAATTAGAATACAACACATTTTCCCTTTTTTATCTCACCATTTCACAGCATCTACAGTTGTCAAAGACAAACATTTTCCCATCTTCAGAAATAAACTTAACCTCATTGATTCATTTACTTCAAATATCTTATAATATTATATTTGCTAACTAATTTTGAAGCTTTCAACTATTTTATTCTGTTCAACAGTATGTTTATGATCTTTAGAATATATATGTATTTGTATATATGTCATTCCTATAGAATAAAGGCTCAGTGATTTTATATAATAGAAATAGAGGCTCGGCGCCTGTGGCTCAAGTGGCTAAGGCGTCAACCACATACACCTAAGGTGGCGGATTCGAATCCAGCCTGAGCCCGCCAAACAACAATAATGGCTGCCACCAAAAAATAGCTGGGTGTTGCGGTGGGCGCCTGTGGTCCCAGCTACTTGGGAAGCTAAGATAGGAGACAAGCTTGAGCCCAGGAGTTGGAGGTTGCTGTGAGCAGTGAAGCCACAGCACTCTATCCAGGGGGACAGCTTGAGGCTCTGTCTCAAAAAAAAAAAAAAGAAAAAAGAAATAGAACACCGTCCCTATCGCAGCCAAGCTTCCAAGTGAAAGTGCTCCCTCAGCTGTCCTCTTTAAACGTGTTTCCTATGAGGTGCCTCCTATGAGTCCCCCAAGTGCATGAAGCTGGTTAGACTGGAGAGAAGCTCTTGACAGAGTCACAAATGTCTCTGGCCCCCAAAAGAATAAAAATCACATTTCATTCTGGGGAATAGGAGTGGAGAAATAACGTATGGGGAAATTTAGAAGTTGGTACCAAGAGAAGATGAAAGAATAGACACAAAACCATACAGATGGAAAGAGATTAAGTCACTTTTGTGATCAACACATCAGTGAAAATCAGAGAAGTGTGGCTACTGAGGTCCCCGGGGTGGCCTGGGGGCTGATCTGTGTCACTAAGGCCTCTCTTCACGTGAGAGTCCAAACCTTTTTTGGTGCTTACAATAAACTTGCACTATCCAACTAGTCACTGCTCAGAGCCACCACGGGTATACATTAAACACAGCTTAATGGCCTATTTTGAATGTGATGCATTTGAATAAACCTACATAGAAGATATATGAAGGAAATAGAGTGCAACCTCCAAGAGTGCATGCATTTTCCAGATCGTACCAAGTTAAACCCAGGATGAAGTGATCCAGACAATCTTAGTAGAGGATTAACACAAATACACACACACCCCTGCCTGTATGTTCACAAGATCTTCATATCTCTGTATCTCTGTACTAACTTTGACTATATTGACAAATGTCATAAGCATAACTAAATTTCTGACTGATTCTCTTTCTTTGGTCAACACGACACCAAGTCTTGGCATAAGTGAACACACTGTAGGTTTTTTTAGTGGGAAACTAGGTTCTTAAACAGGAATATGTCAGTGCAACTCTCAGTGATTATTTATGAATCATCACATCCTTAATTTTTCTTTTTTACAATATTACATAAAAATAACACTTTTGTAACCTCTAATTTGAGCAAGTGTGAGTCAGCGAATGCGATCATAAAATAAACTTTTCTCCCGTTACATTTGTTGGAGCTAGTTTGTTGTTGTTGTTGATTGTTCCTATGTAAAAACTCTGGCCATTCCTCCTACAATTAAGTGATTTGAATTTCTGCAGTGAGTCATTAAACTATTCAGTACCATTTAATAGTCAGAACTTTGAACTTTCTCCCACTTTCTAGGGGAGGGAGACACTCTGTATCAGACAGGCATCACGTTCTTTCAGATATTCTGTCACAGCTTTTCCCTCTCAATCTGAGACTTTCCTCCTAAGAATACGTGGGGACTCCCCGCTCCCCAGCTTGCTTCCTCTCCAGAAACCCTCTCTCCCCCCACCCCTCCTCCACCTTCGCTTCTCCAGCTTCTCAGGGGTGATCACGTCTTGGGATGTACTAGTCCTTTTCTGTTGTTTGTTTTTCTTCCCAGTTCTATGCTCTGGACTTAAAAACGTAACATCAATTGTCTTTATGCCTCAGTGGAACTATTAATATTTAATATTTTCACAGTATTTGCTTTTGGTGTGAGGTGTCACTTGCTCAAAATCAGAAACTTGAAATGGCTATTTGATGGAGCGTAATTGTGAATCTGTTACCAACCATGGATACCACGTGAAAGTGTAACGGCTGATGTTTCAGTAGCCAACTTTGAAATACGTCTCATTTTACTGATTTTGGAGTTTAAGAACGGAATATGAGCCTTACTGCCATGCAGCTTCCATTCTGAGGGAAATAACATCATGTTAATTATATATTTTGACATTTACACTCATTTGCCTGTTTGCCAAGAGGACATAAGTCAGGTCCTAAAGATGACTACACTGCTGAAAAAAGGGAAGACAAGAAAGCCAAAGAAATAGAAGGAGAGGAAATAAAATGCATAGCTTAGGAGACAAAATGCACACTAGCAAGTCCCTTACGAAATTACAGAGATGAATGGGACACTAAACTGACCAAAAACCAAAGAAGGACACAGGCTAGGTCAACAGATTCGTTGTGTCCATAAATTAAAAACAAAGCAGTTACTCAGGAAAAAAGCCATAATTATCTTTAATATTAAAAACAAATTAATGCCATAGATCCTCTTCCAGAAGCCCCTTTTGAAATACTATGGATATTCACAGTGAAGTTATAGTAACTATAGTTGTATAGATTTTTTTTCATAATAACAACCCTGACCCAGATAGGTTTATTTACAATAGGTAGGTCCGTTTTCCTTTTCCTGCTACAGCCCGGATTGCAGGGAGCGGACCCGTCTGGGGGGAGTGTGCCAGGCTGAGTCAGCAGCCTCCCTAGGGTCGGCACCCTGCTAGAATCAGCCAATGGGACAACTTCTGGGACCAACTGCTGGGGCCGACAGAGGCAGGAAGAAGCTGAGAAGCTGGTATTTCTCTACCTTCAGGAGTATCTCCAGCTAAGGCTCTGTCCTACTCTGCATTAGTTTATGCAGAAAGTTCCAGCACCCACCACATTACCCCGACTCTGTTCGTCCTCCAACCTGGATTTAGGAATGGCTTCATGCTGCCGTGAAGCGTGGGCTGCCTCAGTATCCTCAACTGGCTTCTCAGTTCCTCATCACCAATGGAAGCATTTCCCTATTTCAAATGCCTTCTGCTTTAAATATTCAGAATGTTTTCTGCTGTATTTATGGGATCCTGACTAATACAATCATTCCTTATAAAACAATGGCATATTTTTCAATTTATATTGGATAATCTAATGGAAAGTGTTATTACCTGGATGGGAAAGGCCTGGGGATGCTCATACAATATTGAACAGCAGACGCAGAAGGGTGCAGGGCACACATTACTGTTAGTCGTTTAGGCATGATCGTTAGGAAGAGGATTAGAATTCACAAACACCCATACACCTCATAGTTTAGTACAATGAATTAATGATGCTCCTTCGGTGAAAACGATTTCTTCAGAAAATCCTTAGAAATGCACACTTGCCAACTGTAATGTAAATATACACTTAAAACGTGT